GTTGCTACAGAATCGTTTGATTTGACACTGACGCTATCCTCCATTACTATCTGAAACAGAAAACACTAATGTACGGGCAGGGGTATGCTGTAACACAAATCCTTACTTTACTTTATTATTAACAGAGATTAAACACTAAATTCTCACCTGTTTCACTTCATTTAATACCAAACCAATTTCTCCTACTGACACTCCGTGTCATCTAACAGTACATTATTTCTTTAAACCTGTCGAATTTATAGTTACACCACCTGTCAAAAGGTATGATAGCCGAAGTTGTATACCCTGTTACCATCACACTTTCTATGTAAATATAATACATGTCTCGATATAAAATATGTAATGTATAGATTAAGTAAGTGCATATATCGCTATATTAACACTCATTTATACCTTCCTTTAAATTCCTTTATCATTCCTGTGAAATTCAAGAAGACATGTAACATTTAACAGCAAACGCCTTTCAGCCATCATGTACATATGCATCAAAGATTATAGTTGTTATTACGACAAAATAAGATCGTAGTGAGCTGCGATAATAATCACACCTTATGTATAGACGTAGGAGTAGCGATAAAAGCCAAATTTTATGTACAGACTTATAAAATGTACTACCATATCAATGACTTATACACATTAAAGTGCATATTAAATGCTCCGCTTTCAAAGAAAAGTGTGAATAGTTTTATGACACTGAACGTGATACACATATCTGTGACGGAATGAAGCTTCAGAATCATTGAACTCGGGAAAATGATGCTGGTGCGGACTGACATATGCACGCACACACAAAACTGTTATTGACATTTCAATTGAAAGCGTCTTCTCACAGTCAGCTTAAGAAAGGTCCAATACACTTAAAAGTACAGAACGTGTTTATTTTCAGTCTTATTACTGCGAAATTCTTTAATAATTACAACCGCCTATTTGCAGAATATTTGGATGGACATGATTATTTATTTTACAGATCACTACATACATTGGTCAAGTAGTTAGCATTCTTGTTTGTACAGTAAAACCTCTCTAACTTGGACACTTGCGGTTCCACGATAATGTGTCCAACTTACAGAGGTGTCCAAGATAAAGGGAAAGGGGAAAAATCATCCTTTAAAATCGTCGTGTAATAACAATGTGGTAATTGTAAAGTATTATGAAGCCCTTCACAAAAAGGAAATTATTGATAAGAAAAATCAAAAGGGTAAATTAAATTTTTACAAATTTTGTTTTCACATTGTATTTAAGGCATTAGCTCAACATATGATGTCACTTATTTCTTGCAAAAAAGTCCATCACAAGACACTGCTTTTTTGCTTTTATCTTGGAATTTGCCATCCTCTTTCTAATTTTCACCGCAATCCAAATAAAGTTTCAACCACTCCTGGTTGATTATGAGCGAACGCATACCGTTCCAATTTCTGTTAACACTGTTTAACTCAGTTGCAAGCACAGTACTGACAAAGGTAAAACTCCAGTGAGGTGTTTAACAAAAGAATAACTATACACTTTCACTGCATTCCAGTGATGTGCTCAATGTCTCACACCCTCAACCATAAGCAAATCCCCAGGTAGAAGGCATTCATCGGTCAGAAATTCAAAACAACAAAATACTAACTGTAAACGTTTCCCATAAAAACATCGAAGTTAAGTGCATGAACCTGTCCGACTTACAACAAAAAGGGGTGACCAAGTTCCAGGATAAAGGGGTGTCCAAGATATAGGGTATTGTGAATATGTAAAATTATAGGATATTCGCCGGTTCCAATTAAAAGTGTCCAATATAGAGGGGTGTCCAGGATATAGGATTGTCCAACTTGAGGGGTTTTACTGTATTTAGGAGGTCGAAAATCTCGGCAATCCGACACGGTTTCGTAATTTTATTTAGTCCCTCTACAGCAGTGTTGCTCAACCTTTCTACACTCGCGGCACACTAAATATTGTCAAAGAGTCATGGCGGCACACCGACCCCATTTTGCATATCGTGGGAGGGGGGGGAATTGATAGTTTATGGCATTGATTGGCCGCGGCAACTTCTTGTAGATCGCCCCCACAAAAAACCTTATATTTGATGTTTATAATTACCCATCTTTATTATTATTTCATTTATTTTAAATATATTAATTATTTGAAATAAATTAAAATATAATATTTCCTACCGTCTGATTCAAAATTAACTATTTGTAAACATTTAAACTTATTTATATTTTTACATGTGTATTGCAGAAAAAATACTTAGAGTGGTAATAAAAGTAAAGGGGAGGTACACATTTTTTGCTGGAAAGTAGTTGTGTTGTTTTCCAAACAATTTATTAGATCTTGTCTGTCCTCAGTCTACCCGATCATAATAAAGAAAATAAAAACTGACACAGAGCAGAAAACAAGATTTACAATATTTATCTCATTATGGTTATAATTAGAATACGAGGTGAAAATTTCGTGACACACCTAGATGGCCTCCGCGGAACACCGGTTGCCAATAACTGTTCTAGAGAAATGCTGGTATAACACCCATTTTATAACATGCCGTGCCCGCTTTCTACCCAATTAATAACTCACATTATCCGAACATTCGACACAATAAAAGTTATGAAGTTTTGTCACTTCTTCAACAAGTCATATTTTTTAAAATTATAATTAAGACAAGCTCCATTGCCAGTTCAAATAAATGTGACAAATTCAGATGGAGTTGAAGGACCCTGAATTACAGTATGAAGTATTATACACTGAAGCGGTTCTTAACCATTCTGTCAGTATGTAGCAGAAACAAAGACTACCGCTCCTAACTTGTTTCTTTATTGTGTCTTGTCAGGCAGCTATAAACACTAAAAGTAATTTCGAAGAGCGAAATCATTTATGGATTACTAACAGGTACTCATCTAGTCAAGAAATTCTCCGCCTTTTGTGGAGTCCGAATGTTCACTACTGTGTTTAAAAAAAAAGAAAGAAAGAAAGAAAGAAAGAAAGAAAGAAAGAAAGAGCCACTTGTTCCTGTCCATAGCCTGATGAATCCAGTCCACACCCCAGCATCTTTTTATTTAAAATACATTAGTTTTTTCCTCCTACATATGCCTCGGTCTTCTAAAACGTCTCTCTTCCTTTCACGATTTCTGACCAAAACTCTGCATGCCCCTCTAATTTATCTTATTCGTGCCATATGCCCTCCCAGCTAATTATTTTATCGTGATTTTAAATGCTGATGATTGGCTTCTACACCTGAAAAGTAAAGTTTAAGAGAACAGTTTATTTGCCCATTTTTATCGCAGTTTCAAATATACTTCATTATGTAATGCACTGCATGACATTAGCATATACAGTAAAATCTCTCTAACATGGACACTTGCGGTCCCGCGATGTGTCCAACTTACAGGTGTCCAGGATAGAGGGAAAATCATCCTTCCAAATTGTGGTGTAATGACAATGTGGTAATTGTAGAGTATTATGGAGCCCTTCCCAAAAAGGAAATTATTAATTAGAAAAATCAAAATGGTAAATTAAATTTTTACAAATTTTGTTTTCACTAAATTAAACTTGCATGGGTACACTCAAAGGGCACCAATACTTTACGTTTAACGACAACGTAATCTATATGTGCATGGGGGAGCTGAGCTATAGCACCACTCATTCTTCACCTCAGCACTAGTTGGGTGTGAATGGACAGAAATCCAACCCCTTCTGTCCAGCCTGTAATCCAACAACTACACTGGTTGAGTAAACATACATTCGAGTGTAGTCTTAGTCTAATAAGAAACGGTATGTATGTCTTTTATGAAGAGTAAATGGTAAGGAATCTGGCAATTAGTGACTCTGTCTTGGTTCATAAGATACCAGCGCAAAATGAAAGACATAATAATTTGTGCTCTTCATCATACATTATTACGTTCATCAAAACATGGAGGGTGCAGAAACGTATGTATGAAGCTTGAAAGGAAATCTGATCCTGCTTGGATCCCAAGCCTCAGGGAGGCCCTTCTGCGTTCAATCAGCCCAAATTTAACTGTAAATATAAGCATACTAATTTCGCCAACATAACAACTAAATTCCAATGAAATAGATACAATTACAAATAAGTCAATAAATAAATAAATAAATGGGCCCTACCTAAACACACAAAAATACATAAACTATCGTTAGAAGACAACTTCAACGTATTTCGGAAATCGCCAAAGTGCAGAGAAATATAAGATCAAAAGTTAGAAAATTTACTAAATATGATTTTCAGGATTGGGATTTCTTTATCTCAATATTCTATCAGTCTCTCTTCTCATACATTCCTCATTCCTGAAATATTGTTAATGTACCACATTTTATACAAGACACCCGATATTATAAGGATACTGACATGTAGGGGCTAAGATGGACTGGGCATGAGGATGAGTAAAAATTTTCCGAGTAAACTACTAGGAAAACGGTCATTTCGAAGACCGAGAATGAGGTGGAAAACAACACTAGGAACACATATATCGATGAAGGAATGTGGCTAAGGACAATATCCGATGGTGGGCTTTGGTATTAGCGGTGTAGAATCCTCAAACCCTACTAAAAAGGAATTAGTTTTATTAAGAAGTTCTTGACTGCTTTTCAAGTCCCTTGGTTGTGCAGCGTCGAATGGTAGGTTCTCAAAAAGAACTCTTGTTGCATGAGGTTAGAGGATCGGCTAAGAAGAGCAGATAGACGACGACGACGATTAGCTTATTGTAAGCCGTTGAAAGTGAAGTGGTGCTGTACAACCTTTCCGAGGTCGGTTAATAGATGAAAACTTCAGTGAAGACCAAACAAACGTCTGATGGATGTTGTGTGTATGAAATACTTCGGCCCGATTTCGTGAGAGATTACAGAGAATGTCTGAAACTTCAGACGTCCTGTCCATTTGAGTGTTTAGCCTGGAAGTTGGTTTGACTAATGTGCTTTCAACTTGTAAGGGCAGTAAAATCCTCCATATATTCGCGTAGAATACTGATTTGCATGACACTGTGTATACTAAACACTACAGAAATCCTTAATAATCATTTATGTAAATATGTCTCTGTATAATGAAACAATTGCTTTGATTAAACTTTCTCAGTTCCGCTATATTGTGTCGAGAAAAATATTTGTGTAGAACGTTTTTGACAGTTATGTATTGAGAATGGTAAGACAAATTTAAAGATAACTGCCATTATTTTACAACTAAACTTTCGTATTAATGCTTAAGATACTAACTTCATATTCGCAGACACCACGGGGTTTTCCTTAGGAGCTAAAACTTATGATACCGATAAAAAACATTCTATATTTATATGCATTCAGAATATACATGACCGTGTTCATAAAAGCTTACCATTACAACTTACTCTAAGTCTAATGAATTCTTCTGGCGCTACCAGCCGTGTAATGTGCCATCTTATACGGCTGGTAGCCCAAGAAGAATTCTTTAGGCTTAGTCGCCGTAAAAGCTTCAAACCATCAGACCATCATTTCACTAAAAGTTTTTTTTACAATAGACGTCCATTATCAAATTTAATT